ATACTGGTGATACTTGACTATGCCACCCGGTATCCTGAAGCCATCCCCTTGCGTAATACCTCAGCTAAAAATATCGCCAAAGAGCTTGTCCGGGTGTTTAGTCATGTAGGTATTCCAAAGGAGATATTAACGGATCAGGGCACGCCATTTATGTCTAGAGTTATGAAAGAGTTATGCAAACTGTTCAAAATCTCCCATCTCCGTACCTCGGTCTACCACCCCCAAACCGATGGGCTTGTGGAAAGGTTTAACAAGACCCTTAAGAATATGTTAAAAAAGGTGGTGGACAAAGATGGAGAAATTGGGATTTTTTGCTACCATATCTCATGTTTGCTATACGGGAAGTACCTCAGGCATCTACAGGATATTCACCTTTTGAATTACTGTATGGTAGACATCCCAGGGGATTGCTAGATGTTGCAAAAGAAACCTGGGAGACAGAGTCCACACCCTATAGAAGTGTCATCGAGCATATCTCACAGATGCAGGATAGAATCGCAGCTGTCATGCCACTTGTTCGGGAACACATGGAGCAAGCCCAGGAGGTCCAGAGAAGGGTTTATAACCGGGGTGCCAGGATCCGTACCTTCAACCCTGGGGATAGAGTGCTGGTGCTAGTCCCCACCGTGGAAAGTAAATTCCTCGCAAAGTGGCAAGGTCCCTTTGAAATTAGGGAGAAAGTGGGGGAAGTAAATTATAAAGTTTACCAGCCAGGAAAAAGGAAACCCGAACAAATCTATCATGTTAATCTCTTAAAACCTTGGAAAGACAGGGAAAGTTTGTTGGCAGTACCAAGCCCCCAAAAGGACGTGGTTCCCGTGGCCCCTCAGGTACCTATAACGGAAACCTTATCATTAGCCCAACAAAATGATGTTACGGAGTTTTGTGAGAAAGAATGGAAATTTCTTCTCTCACCTACCTGGACTGACGACAGTCATACAGCATGACATAGTTACCCAGCCCGAGGTCCGCGTAAATGTCAAGCCCTATAGAATACCCGAGGCCAGGCGGGAAGCGGTGGCAAAGGAAATAAAGGACATGTTAGAGTTGGGAGTGATTGAGGAATCTCACAGTGAGTGGTCGAGTCCCATAGTGTTGGTCCCAAAACCCGATGGAACTATTCGTTTCTGTAATGATTTCAGAAAACTGAACAGTGTGTCTAAATTTGATGCATACCCGATGCCTCGGGTGGATGAGCTCATTGACAGGTTGGGAACGGCTCGGTACATAACCACCTTAGATTTAACCAAAGGCTATTGGCAGATTCCTTTAACGGAAGCTGCAAAAGAAAAGACGGCATTCTCTACCCCCGAGGGGTCCTTTCAGTATAAGCGGATGCCGTTTGGTCTACATGGTGCTCCGGCATCATTCCAATGAATGATGGACAAAACGTTAAGACCACATCGCCAATATGCAGCTGCCTATTTGGACGATGTTGTCATCCACAGTCCAGACTGGGAATCTCATTTGTCCCGCCTGCAAGCGGTAGTAGATTCGCTGAGGGAAGCAGGTCTTACCGCCAACCCCAGAAAGTGTGCCATAGGCTTAGAGGAGGCCAAATATCTTGGCTACATCATTGGTCGAGGTCTCATTAGGCCTCAGATCAATAAAATTGAGGCGATTCAAAAGTGGCCCCAACCTGTAAATAAAAAGCAAGTCCGGGCATTTCTTGGGATCACAGGATACTACAGGCGGTTTATCCCCAATTTTGCCACCATTGCAGCCCCACTGACAGATCTGACGAAAGGTAGGGGGTCGGTCATGATTAAGTGGAATCCCGAGGCGGAGACCGCATTTCAAAGGCTGAAACAAGCTCTCTGTGCCCAACCTGTGCTTGTGACTCCAGATTTCACAACAGAGTTTGTGGTACAGACTGATGCCTCTGACGTGGGACTAGGTGCGGTACTGTCCCAAATCAGAGATGGGGAGGAGCACCCTGTGGTCTACCTAAGTAGAAAACTCAACAAACATGAGAGAAACTATGCCATTGTGGAGAAGGAATGTTTGGCCATCAAATGGGCCTTGGAGGCCCTGAAATATTACCTGTTAGGAAGACCGTTCAAGTTGGTTACTGATCATGCCCCGCTCAAATGGATGTGTGATAATAAGGAGAAAAACAGTCGAGTGACAAGGTGGTTTCTCGCGCTACAAGTGTTCAAATTCACAGTGGAACACAGAGCGGGGAAACTGCAAAGTAATGTAGATGCCCTTTCCCGGGTCCATTGCCTGGTTGGGACAGTTGCTCAGCCGCAGGGGCTTGAGCAGAGGGGGGGGATATGTGACAGTATGAACGGCAAAGTGATGGATGGAAGATATGTGTCACCTCGCATGAGGTCATACTGTGAGGTGTAAGGTGGAGTCCACTCTGGGTTTTCGGGGCCACAATGGCAGAGGTGGTTCCAAACCAGAGTTTGGACTCCACTAATGACCACCAACAGGTGATACAAAAAGGGCAGGGCTGGAGCAAGGAGTGGCCTGGGACTCAGAGAGGTATTCTGAGAGAGCTGTGTGTATGGACTATACCTACAAGAAAAGGTTTGCTGTTTATTTTGGTGACAGGGAGAAGCCCTTCACCTCTGAGAGAGGAATCATCTTCTGTTTAGTTAGTGCCGGGATGGCAAGGGTTTATTTTGATGTTTTGTTTATTTTGATATTTCTTGCAAACCTTTTTAATAAAACTGACAAACAGTCAGATTTTGATGAAAGCCTGCTGTGCGGTCTACCTTTGTCCCAGGGAAGGAGATCCCCCACCTGAGCTAACCCCACAATATATATACACAAACACTACACACACAGTATCTCACAGAAATACGTACACCCCTCACGTTTTGTAAATATTTTATTATATATTTTAATGTGACAACACTGAAGAAATGACACTTTGCTACAATGTAAAGTAGTGAGTGTACAGCTTGTATAAATTTGCTGTCCCCTCAAAATAACTCAACACACAGCCATTATTGCCTAAACCGCTGGCAACAAAAGTGAGTACGCCCCCAAGTAAAAATGTCTTAAATTGGGCCCAATTAGCCATTTTCCCTCCCTGGTGTCAAGTGACTCAGTGTTACAAGGTCTCAGGTGTGAATGGGGAGCAGGTGTGTTAAATTTGGTGTTATCACTCTCACTCTCTCATACTGGTCACTGGAATTTCAACATGGCACCTCATGGCAAAGAACTCTCACCCTCTACATAAAGATGGCCTAGGCTATAAGAAGATTGCCAAGACCCTGAAACTGAGCTGCAGCATGGTGGCCAAGATCATACAGCGGTTTAACAGGACAGGTTCCACTCGCCTCGCCATGGTTGACCAAAAGAAGTTGAGTGCACGTGTTCAGCATCATATCCAGAGGTTGTCTTTGGAAAATAGACATATGAGCGCTGCCAACATTGCTGCAGAGGTTGAAGGGGTGGGGGGGTCAGTCTGTCAGTGCTCAGACCATACGCCGCACACTGCATCCAATTGGTCTGTATGGCTGTCGTCCCAGAAGGAAGTCTCTTCTAAAGATGATGCTCAAGAAAGCCCGCAAACAGTTTGCTGAAGACAAGCAGACTAAGGACATGGATTACTGGAACCATGTCCTGTGGTTTTATGAGACCAAGATTAACGTATTTGGTTCAGATGGTGTCAAGCGTGTGTTGCGGAAACCAGGTGAGGAGCACAAAGGCAAGTGTGTCTTGCCTACAGTCAAGCATGGTGGTGGGAGTGTCATGGTCTGGGGCTGCATGAGTGCTGCCGGCACTGGGGAGCTTCAGTTCATTGAGGGAACTATGAATGCCAACATGTACTGTGACATACTGAAGCAGAGCATGATCCCCTCTCTTCGGAGACTTGGCCACAGGGCAGTATTCCAACATGATAACGACCCCAAACATACCTCCAAGACAACCACTGCCTTGCTAAAGAAGCTGAGGGTAAAGGTGATGGACTGGCAAGCATGTCTCCAGACCTAAACCCTATTGAGCATCTGTAGGGCATCCTCAAACGGAAGGTGGAGGAGCGCAAGGTCTCTAACATCTACCAGCTCCGTGATATCATCATGGAGGAGTGGAAGAGGACTCCAGTGGCAACCTGTGAAGCTCTGGTGAACTCCATACTCAAGAGGCTTAAGGCAGTGCTGGAAAATAATGGTGGTCACACAAAATATTGACACTTTGGGCCCAATTTGGACATTTTCACTTAGGCATGTACTCACTTTTGTTGCCAGCGGTTTAGACATTAATGGCTGTGTGTTGAGTTATTTTGAGGGGCCAACAAATTTACACTGTTATACAAGTTGTACACTCACTACTTTACACTGTAGCAAAGTGTCATTTCTTCAATGTTGTCACATGTGAATATATAATAAAATATTTACAAAAATGTGATGGGTTTACTCACTTCTGTGAGATAATAAATACATATATATATATATATATATATATATATATATATATATATATATATATATATACACACACACACACTCACACTATCTGTTCATAAGTGCAATACACAATACTCTGCTTGAATAGGTTTGATTTCAGTCTAAATCTTTTCTAGTTCTTTTCCAGAGTATTCATTCTGTTAATTGCTCAAGGCCTTTCTAATTTCTGTGGATGTGAAAGGTAGAATTCAAATGAAATAAAGGACAATTAAGTTGTTGATGGCAATTAACTCAGTATGATGGCCTGATTGCACAGAAATGAGCAAAATATTGTAATGGAGGACAAGCAAGGTCGATATCCCCAAGACTATAATTTGGCCTGACATCTGATAATTTACAACAGATTAAACTTTCTCTGTTATGTTAACATAAGTAGTATACGTACAACACATTCTAACAGCCATTCTAGGCTAATTCTTAGGTCCAGGTGTGGTACACACAATCAAAAGCCATTGAGAAGCCTCCAAGTCCATATTTAGGTACTTTAACCGCCTCCCGCCTGCCATATAGTAATATGATGGACGCAAGGCGGTTCTCTCGTTCTGGGAGGACGTCATATGACGTCCTCCCATTCTAACCGCGCAGCACGGGGATCGGCGATGCGCGGTGTCCCTCGGACACAGTGGATCACCGATCCACGGAAAGAGCCAAAGATGTCGGCTCGGTCATGTGATCAGCTGTGTCCAATCACAGCTGATCACATGTAAACAGGGAAATGCCGGTTATCAGCATTTCTCTCCTCACGAGCTGTCACGCTGACAGCTCGTGAGGAGAGGAGAGCCGGTAATCCGCATTCCTCGGAGGGGACATGTACACAGATCATCAGAGCTCTGATGATCAGTGTGCCCTGATGATCTGTGTAGCCCCAGCAGCACCACCTGTCAGTGTCCATCAGTGCCAGCTCTCAGTGCTCATCCATGCCACATTTCAGTGCCCATCTGAGCTGCCTTTCAGTGTCACCCATCAGTGCCAATCAGTGCCTCTTATCAATGCCAGTCAGTGCCCGTCAGTGCTGCCTATCAGTGCCATATATGAGTGCTGCCTTTCAGTGCCCATCAGTGATGCCTGTCAATGCCCACCAGTGCCGCCTACCAGTGCCCATCAGTCAGTGCCACCTATCAGTGCCCATCAGTGCAGTCTCATTAGCGGACACCAGTGAAGGAGAAAAATCACTTATTTACAAAATTGTATAACAAAAAACTAAGAAAAAACATTTTTTTTCTTCAAAATTTTCATTGGTTTTTGATTTAAGAAAAACTAAAAACCCAGAGGTGATTAAATAGGGGGTAGAAGTGCCCTGTAGGCTAGTGGTTAAGCTGCACCCTGACCTCAGGTTGTTTCACATTTACCAGCGTGATCTCTAAGGCAGGCAACACATGATTCATTTTCTCTCATCCAACCAGCAGGTTAAAACAAAAGAAATTAATTGATTCGCCCATCCACACATTCAAGGTGGATGGGGGAATGCCTCCTGAGGAACTATTGTATTCTGGCAGTGGCTGTCAGAATACACTCAAATTCGGAACAGGTTGAGCAAATAATCTTCCAACAGGCTAGTTCTACAGAAGTCAGTCAAGAGATCGACTTCTGTATAACCAGCCTACTCATAGATGGATTGATATTTGGCCAGTTCAACGTGGCTGTGGGCAGATAATGACTTCTTTCTTTTCTCTCTCTTTTTTCCTAAACTGCATACTTGTTCTAGATCAATGATTTAGAAGGTACTGAAGCCAGCGTGGCAGCATAACAGCCAGGTGACTTGTATTTTCAGAAGAAGGCCAGTAAATGGCAGCATTTCCATCTATCTCATTCTTTTAAAGTTTTACTCTGAAACCAAATTGGGCCTTGGTGTACAGGATTTATATTGACATCAAACCTTAAACATCTATAGCTGCACTGGAGTAAGCAGGGGATGTTGTAGTTGGATCCTCTAGTCTGGCATATGGGAAAGGGGGCACCAATATGGTAAGGGAACCTTGCCAAGTGTTCCAGTTGTTTGGAAATGTTAACTATCATGCCCCACCTTCCATTGTTTAAAGCCACATAAGTGAGGTATGTCTCTAACACTTATTAAAACTATATAAATAACGCCAAAACATCTTTAACCTGTTGACATTAGCGGTACGCATATATGAGGCCTCTCAGTGTGTGTGTGCCTTTACACCAAGAGGTCGCACATATGCGTACCAGAATGTGAGCAGAATTGCGCCGAGAACGCACACCCCTGCACGTTCCCGACACAGTTACCATCGGCTCAAGGAAAGCTCCCTACTTGTGATTGGGAACTTTCCGCTCAGAAATACTTCTTCCTGGCATAAAAGACCTATTACAGGGCTGGGCGACACTGTTAAGGGGTTACCATGTCTTAACAACCCAAAACATGCAAAATGGGTTTCAGCTGCAAAGCCACTACTGAGAACCAATTTTCATAGATACCACACTGGAGTCGATTTACTAAAGACCTCATTCATCAAACTCTGTGGCAAATTCCTTTGCAAAGTGCAACTTCCCTTGCAAAGTGAAGAGGATATTTAGCCTATTTGCCTTTAGTAAATCAACCACACTATGTTTTGGTAATACATAACAAAACATAGCAATGTAATGTTCTGCTATAGCATAGACTGTGTCATTAAGCACTTGGGAAAGACGCTTCAGCCCCTGTGGAACTCATCACTCTTGCTGTCTGTCAACTGCACAGTGCAAAAATGCAGCTTGCATTGATCTGCACACTTTCCATTTCAGATGGAGAAAGTAACACTGTATTTCTAAACTGACTCTGCACATTACGTCTACCTGTTTCCTGTATTCAAAAACATTACAGGGAGACCTGTGTACTTTTCACAATGTCTGTAGAATACAAAATATTCTTCTGTGCACTTCCTTGGCTGGTCTGAATGAAAAGGTTTTATATTAGCATTGGAAGAGGGATTTTTATAACAAATAGAAAGAAGTGTAAGACCTCAGGAACTCCACACATCCAGCTGATACAAGGCAAGTTCATTTAACTCAGAAGCACTGAGCTTACATCCACAATGAGGCCACCAAACAAATCAATTTCTTAAACAATGTTCAATGTTTCCACAACCTGTCGCTTGACATGTTGAGACTGAGAGACATAATGGCAGTTCTGCTGACCTTTGACTTCACACATTAAAGACACCTGAATCAATTGTCATATAGGCGAGAGGCAGGCTTGGCCATTACAGAAGCAGTAGGCACACCATTAACACTCTATATAGGTCTCTACCATGTCATCCTAGGCGATTTAAAGGGAGACTCCACTGTATTTGTGGAACACATTTTAAGTTAGTATCATATTATTTCCCCAAAAGTAATTTGGAGAAGGATTTACATTTTAACTTGGTATTCCTTATTAATGGCTGTTATATGTTCTATAAAGATAGGTAAAGACTCACTTTAGTGGTCATCTGTCTATTAGGTAAAGTGATTCACATTACCTGCTTACTGACCATTTGGATAAGCTCCCTTGTGATTAATAGCATCCATACACATAAGAGGCATAGAAGGTGTGCATGACAGACAAGAAATCATTACTTCATCAAGGTGAACATTTCTACATTATGCAACTGCAATTTGGTATCTATGAGCAGTTTTAGGGTGGCCACAGAAGAACAGATGTCTATGGAAACAACAGATGGGAATCCTTGTCAGATCGCCAAGATCCCCTCTATGATCCTTGCCAAGCAATGACGTGCAGTACTTTGCTCTTTTATCCTTCTACATAGGAAAAAGTGAAGGACTGGAACTTGATCAATGGAACACTTTCCAACAAGTTAAAAAAAAAATCTGCCTGCGCTCCCTTCCTCTGGTCAGCAACTGCCCAACAATCCTAAATAATACTTAAGGTCACACTTACATATCTGTTTTGTTTTTTTTAATACCTGACCTATAGACAGAGAGGCAGTAAAGCCCTGCCACTATGCAGTTCTAAAAGGCAAAGCCTTCGCATTCAGTGTGCAAATATACCGATTTCTATAAACATAATACATACACCGATCAGCCATAACATTAAGATCACTGATGGGTCAAGTGAACATTGATTATCTTGTTGCAATGGCATCTGAAAGCTGGTGGGATACATTAAGCAGCAAGTAAACATGGGCATCACAGTTTGTTGTGTATGGGGCTGTGTAGCAGAAGACCGGTCAGGGTGCTCAAGCTGACCCATGTCCACAGCCAAGAGAGAAGCTACAATGGGCAAGTGAGCATCAGTACTGGACCATGGAGCAATAGAAGGTGGACTGGTTTGATGACTCACATTTTCTTTTACATCATGTGGATGGCTGGGTACGTGTGTATCACTTACCTGGGAAAGAGATGGCACCAGGAAGCTCTATGGAAAAAAGGCAAGCCAGTGGAGGCAGTGTGATGCTTTGGGCAATGTTCTGCTGGGAAACCCTGGCCCTGGGTGTTACTTTGACATGTACCACCTAAAATATTGTTGCTGACGAAGTACACCTTTTTATGGCAATGGTATTCCCTGATGGAAGTGGCCTATTTCAGCAAGCTAATGCGCCCTACCACAGTGCAAAAATTGTTCAAGAATGGTTTGAGGAACACAACAATGAGTTTGCAGTGCTGACTTGGACACCTAATTCTCCAGCTCTCAATCCATCAAAAAAAAACAAGTCCGATCCATGGAGGCCACACACCTTGCAACTTACATAACCTAAACAATCTGATACTGACAGCTAGGTGCCAGATACCACAGCATACCTTCAGTCTGGGTTCACACTAATGCAGTGCGGGAGACTGCATATAATTCGCACAGGAATTATATGCAATGTCTGTGAGATGCGATTTGAGCCATATATTTTGTATGGCTCAAATCGCATCGTATCCTCACCAAAAATGTGCAGGACTCTTTTTTTTTAACCCGCATTTGAATCGCATTGCATGGGTGTTCTCACCCATGCGATGCGATTTCTGGCAAACACATCGCGTTTTACAATAACTCAGGGTGTCATTAATTTAACCTTGGTCAGGGCTGTTTTGGCAACAAAAAGGGGGCCTACTCAATATTAGGTGAGTCATCAGTGTATGTTTACACACCACACATATACAGAAAAGTTTTTTAGCCACTTGGGAAATTGTTTGTTTTTTTGATTAGCCAGCTACTTGACCAAAAAAAATGATCCATGGCCATTAGGCTATTCATTTCTGAATGGGAGAAGCCAGAAGGCCAAATCACCATTAGAAATTGTGAAGAAAAGAAAACACAAAACACATATCTTAAGAAGATACATTTACAGCATTATTATCTACAACATTTATTACATTTATACAGCACTATATATATATATTAATAATATTATCAGCGTTACCACAATACCAGATGCATCATAATCTCAGAGTTTGTCAAGTGTTTAACCAGAATACCAGCAGGCAGAAAGCCTTATAAACCAGGCAAATTCATACCACTACAATATACTCACAGAATATTTAGAACAAAAAATTGCTCGAGAGATACAAAAAAGATCTCAACTAAAAGGAAAAGTAACAGCTAGGGATTTTTCATTTCATCTGATTTCTAGTCTATTTCATTGTGATTCCTTTGAGGTTAATATATTTCATGAGATAAGTGACACCCCCTCTGTTCCAGCCCCAGCTCCCTTTTACACTCCTGTCTATACAGCTGCATTTGGCTTTTGAGTTCTCCCACAAGGAAGCTCGGTGGCAGCGCAGCTTGCTCACCACTGACAGGCCTCACAGGGATCTGTCTACAGCTTGCATCCATCCATTTCCTTTAGAAGATGGCATGCATAGAGATGCTCATTAGTAATATACAGAGCAGAGTCTCCCAGGGGATGTGCTGGGCACATATGAAATGCAGTATCACACACTTAACCACTTGTACACACAATGTACATTATGTGATAGATTTATAATGTAGCGGCACTGCAGATGCAGTTGGCAGTGGCAACCAGGAGAAATAAAATGAAATTGGAGCTATGAGAGCTAACGGTTTGTTATGGCTCACATACGAATGAGATTAATAGAAAAAACAAAAAAAAAAAAAAAATAAAAGATATAAAGAAAAAAA